ATTTTCTCACAGTCTGGAGGCGGAAGTCAGGATCACGTTTTCGGGCGGTTGGGTAGGTTTCCAGGGAGGCCCCGTTTCCAGGCTTGCAGGCGGCCGCATTCTCGCTGTGTCCTCACCAGCCTTGCCCTGTGCGGGCACAGTCCTGGTGCCTCTTCCTCTTCTGACGGGACACGAGTCCTGTTGGGTTAGGACCCACCTTAAGACCTCATTTAACCTTGTTCATCTCTGAAAGGCCCTGTCTCCAAACGCAGTCACCTTGGGGTCAGGGCTCCAACCTAAGAATGTTGGGGCGCATGAGTCTGTCCATGCAGGGGTGACAGCGGCGCTAGACCTGGGCTCAGGCCCTGTCTGCCCCAGCCACAGCTATCCACCTCTCCCCTGGGCGGGGATGGAGCAGCCAGCCCCATGTGGGGTCACCCCACCCTCCCCCCGGCCCCGCCTCCACATCTCAATTACTCTCTCCCAGCAGTTGGCCGCCTCTCGGGCAAATTGTTCATGAGAAGATGCTCTCCAAAGCTCGGCCACACGCTGCTGTCATTGATTCCATTTTGATTATTCATATTAGCCGGAGCGCCGCTGTCTAGCCATGGGTGGTAATTAGCACAAGTGTTGGGCACAGGCCAGGTCCGTGCTGGCGTGGGCCTGTGGGTTCCTGCGACAACCACCCCAGCCCAGCCGCCTCTCGGGGACCAGTCCTCACGCAGGGCAGCTGCAGGCGCCCAGCCAGAGCCTGTGTCAGGCCCCGGCACGTGTGGCCCGGGGCAGGGGCGGGACTGCTGGGGAAGCCACAGGAGCCCCCCACTTCCAGGGGCCGGCAGGGCCCCCCTGGCCGCTCCTGTCCTGTGCCGGCTCATGGAGGAGCCAGCTTGGCCACGCACACCCTCTCTGGTACCTTCCCTGGCCTAGCCTTCCTGGGCAAGCAGGTCCCCCTCCACCGCCTGAGCGGCCCAGGGACCCCGCCCAGCCGGAACATTCCGGACGTCCTCCATCCTGTCCTCTGGGCCAGGTGGCCGACTGTGGCCTGCAAATGCGGAGCCGGTTGCCTCCACCGAGACTCAGTGAGAGGGGACCGCTGGGACCAGAGCCCCCAGGAGGCGATTTTCTGGGAATTCCCTTTCCTCCTTCGGTGCCCCCACCCAGGTCGTGGCCTTGCCTTTTGTCAAGTGCACGTTCACCGCAGTTCCCTGCTGCTGAGTTCAGGAGGGGGAGGGGTCAGCGGTTATTAACCGTCCTCTCTCAAAGCGCGCCTTCCCCGGGGAACCTCCCTTCCCGCTGATTCATTACCTGGTCGGAAGCAGAGCGTAACACGTTAAAGCCGTCTTGATAGCATTTGATATTCAGCACTAACGACTCCCACACCGAGGAGGGCTTCCCCCAGAGCGGGAGGGAGGCGATCTGCACATTGGATGTTCCCAGACAGTCGGCGGTTTGCATTAAGCATCCAGAAACCCTCTGCTTACAATCTGTCAGCTCCCCTGGTTTCATTTTATAGCCCTCCCAGCAGGAGGGGGAGCAGCCGCCGCCGTGGGGGCCGAGCAGAGCCTGGTCTGAGCACCTTGGTCGGGGTGGCATGGACCTGGTTGGGGACCTGGTCAGGGACCTGGTCAGGGGTGACGGGCCCTGGTTAGAGGTCAGGCACAGATGCCAGAGGTGTCTGCCACGCGGGGATTGGCAAGCTTACCCTGCCCCCAAGACCTTTGGGTGAGGTGTGGCCACGTGGCTAGAAACCAGACGGGAGCTCATCTCCCCAGACAGCCAAGCTCCGACTTGTGGCTTCCCTGAGGACACCTGTCTGGTCCTGTGATGAGTCGCCCAAGGTGGACGCCCTGTGATACCCTGGTGATGAGCCCCAGGCGGTCTTCCTCGGCCTGCTGACCTGAGGAACTGAGGCTCAGGCTGTGTGTGTACCGTCCTGCCTGCATCTGAGGTCTCCTGAGAGCTTCTTCAGACACCTGAGCACTGCCAGGGCCTAGGACCCAGAATCTCCTGCCGGTGCTGGGCGGACGCGGGACAGACCATCTGCGTGTGCAGCAGTGTCAGGGGAGGGCCCTCGGGTCCTGTGCTCTGTCCCCACACCCGGCTCCGTGTCGTCATCTATAAAAGGAGGAGCCTGGGGAGGGTCCTCAGCCAGGGGGCCAGGACCTGGGCAGGCCAGGGCCCTGAGCCTCACCCCTGCCTCAGCCAGGCCCCCTCTGCTCTCGCCCGGCTTCCATGTTGCGTTTCCGGGCGAAGGTTTCTTTGAGCAAAGGGCTCCGTAGCTGTGATGAGGGTTACAACCCCAGCCTGGGCCTTCCCTTCAGCTGCCGGGGACAAGGCGGCTGGGCTCCCCGAGGGAGCCCAAGGCCGAGGCTGCCCGCCTGAGGAGAGGGGGACGGTAAAGACACCACCACCCCCTGTGTGCCCATCCATCAAGCTCTGAACAGGCACACACAACTGCACCCCAGATCCAGGCAGCTCGGTGAGCCGGGGGCAGAAGCCATCAGCACCGCCCCCCTGCCCCTGATGACCTGCTGGGTGGGATCCAAGAGCCGCACGACAGGACCGTGGGCCCCGGTGCTGATGAAGGTGCTGGAGGCTGAGCCCTACGGGCGCCAGAAGGGCCTCTTCAGGGTGGCACGGAGGGCAAGGACCGTGAGCCAGCAGCGCGCAGGCACGGAAGGGTCCTGGCAGATTCCAACCCTCACTCGTGGGGTTTCCTTTGCAAAACCACTGACATTCCACATCCAGGTGCGGACAGGGAGCGGGGGCACGAGGTGCACGCCCTGGAGCTCTCCCTCTGCCCCCGTGCAAAGGCTGAGCATCTGTGATTGCACAGCAAGCACCCCGTGGCCATAGCATCAGCCGGCCGCCACAACTGGCGTCTCGTGCTGGGTGTCACCACCATCACCGTGAACGGCTGTGACAGTAGCGGCTCTTTGCTGGGGACACACGACGTGCCGGGGTGGTGGATCAATCGGGTTCCCTCCGCGTCAGCATGCCAGGCAGATACTGTTAGATTCCCATCGTACAGATGAGGACACTGAAGCTCAGAGAGGCTTAGCGGCTTGCTCAGATTTACACAGCAAGTAAAGGCCGAAATCTGGACTCCAATCCGGGTGTGAGTTTGACCGGGCTCCACCCCTGTGTAGACTGTGTCCTTGTCCACCTGTGTCCCGGAGCCCCTCACAGACAAGGGCAGGAGCCGTGAGCCGTGACCGCTCTTCCCCCGGGTCCCTGTGAGAGAAGCTCAGCCAGAGGAGAAAGGACGGCCTCGCAGCCGCAAAGCCATTGCCTCTCCCTGGCGTGACCTGGGCCCTGCTCCTCCTCCCGGGCCACCTGCACCCAGCGTCCCCTGCTCAGCAGCCTGGTCCCTCCTGGAGCCCGGCTGTGGATTCACTGCCTCCAGAGCTGGCTCCCCAGAGCCTCCAGCACTGGGCTGTGCTGGGCCGACATGCCACCCCAGGCCTGGCCAGCTCTCGGCCTGTGGGGGGCGGGGGGGCGGGGGAGGGCGTGAACCGCAGTCAGTCCGCACACTCAGCGGGCGAGTTGGTTTATTTTCGGGTCCTGGCCCATCCTGCCAGAAGGTGGGGAGACAGCCCTCGGCCCTGCGGGTGCCACTCAAGGTGGCCAGTCACCTGTGGACACCCACTGCCCTGGCCACATGGGCCCTGCAGCCCAGCACGCTGCTGCGACCCCGCCTGACCTCCCCTCTGGGTCCCCACGACCTCACTCCGGGGAGGTCCTTTGTCTCCCACTCCAGGGCCCCGTGAAGAGCCACCTGGTGCACTTGCACTTGGGGAAACCAGACAGATCCCTAGGCAGCCCACTGCCGGCTGCATCTGAGGGGAAGGAGGGAGGGGGAGCAGGGGAAGAGCAGGGAGCCCCCCGGGGTGGGGGGGAAGCTGGCAGGGCAGCCTGGGCTCCCTCCAGCCTCCTCCTGTGTCCCTAGAGCCAGCCTCCCATCAGGGAGGGGAGGGGCTGAGCTCTGGGAGGGCCGGGAGGGGAGGGGCTGAGCTCTGGGAGGGCCTCTGACCCCGCCCCTGTCTCCCCCAGTTCACGGCATCAAGTGGACCTGCAGCAACGGCAACAGCAGCTCGGGCTTCTCCGTGGAGCAGCTGGTGCAGCAGATCCTCGACAGCCACCAGACCAAGCCGCAGCCCCGGACCCACAACTGCCTGTGCGCCGGCGGCTTGGGTGAGCGGGGTGGGCACGGCGGGCAGGCGGGCATCACGGGCCCAGGGGCTCTGCCAAGCAGCGGCACGGCTCTCCTCCTCAGGGGTCACCGTGATGGCCAGTGAGGGGAGGGGTCAGCCCGGGGTCAGGCGACAGCAGGGCCCCCAGGTCAGACTCACCCTTGTCCTGCCCCCCAGCCAGCGGGGGGCCCACTTGGGGCAGAGACAGCCGTTCCCAGGGAGGCAGCTCCCCTGAGAGTGGGGGCAGCAGAGTTGGGGTGCCTGGGGATGGGGCTCCAGGCCTCTGTCCACCCACCGCAGTGCCCTCCAGGCCTCCAGTGCCCTTGGGCCATGTCAGCAGGGGGCCCTGGTCCCTTGGCTTCCCGGGATCAGTCCTGAGACAATGGGCCACTCAGGCCAAACGGCTGTCTTTCACCTCCGTCTCCGCCAAGCGTCCAGGGTCCCGCGCTCTTCATCCCAGTGTCTCTTCCTGGTAACAGTTTGCTCTTTGAAGTGTGCGTCCCGCCCCCTGCGCGGCCCTAAGGAGAAGTTCCCGTTAGAGGCTACCTCGCTTCCCCGCCACGTCTGCCATTTAGGGATCACGGTGGCGAGGCTGCGACAGGATCGGGGGAGGATTCACCCTTTTATAAAAGCAAACTGACCCTTACCAGACGGGATGGAAATAGGGGTGCAGTGGGCAAGAAAAGCGGGAGAAGCGTCCTGGGGTCCTGGCGGGCGTGAGCCCTGACCCGCTGGCGCTCGGACGCATGCGGCTCTTCCTTCTCTGCCGCTGAGCCGGGCGGGGGCTCTGTCCTTGCTGCGTTTTAGAAGGAGTTTGCCCCACAAAGAGCTGAGGACAGGTCCAGCCAGCTGGACAGAGGGTGGTGGCCCCGAATACATTGCGGCCCACAGAGCAAAGTCTGGGCCCCCCTTTGGCCTTGGGGCCTGGGAGCGACCCAGAGAGCAGGCCTTGCTCTCGGGTGCCCCTCCACCTCAGGCTGCCGGTCCCAGGGGGCTCCCTGCCGCCTGGAGGAGAGGGGCCTCCTGCAATGCTGCCCGGCCTGCGGGCCTGGACGCTTCCAGGGGGTGGAGAGAGGGACCAGGCCACCCCCCGGCCGATCCCTGCCAGCGAGAGCCTGGCCAGGGAAGGCGGCTGCTCCGAGGGTGGGAGGGTCTCCCCGGAAGATGGCCTTCTCTCCATCCTCTCCTCCCCGCCTCCCGTGGTCGGGGCACTGCTGCCACCACTTGCAAAGTGCGTGGAGGAAAAGGGGCCTGGTGTGGAGGGTGGGGACCGGGGCACATGGGAGCCTGGGGCCGGGGATCAGGAGGCCCCAATCCTGAGTGGCAGCTACACGCCAGCCCCAGGGGCTCGGGGGCTCCCGGGAGGGGCTTTGCCAGCTGCCAGCTGCTCAGAGACAGGTCCGCTGCAGCCCACCTCTGACTCTCTCTTTGTGTGCGTGTGTGTGCGTGTGTGTGCACGCACACGTGTGTGTTTGCGTGTGTGTGGCATGCGTGTGTGCATGCTGTGCCTCTGCCCTCTGCAGGAGCGGGCAGCAGCGTGCATCACAAGTGCAACAGTGCCAAACACCGCATCATCTCGCCGAAGGTGGAGCCGCGGACGGGGGGCTACGGGGGCCACGCGGAGGTGCAGCACAATGACGTGTCCGAGGGCAAGCAGGAGCACAGCCACGGCAAGGGCTCGAGCCGAGAGAAGAGGAACGGCAAGGTGGCCAAGCCCGTGCTGCTGCACCAGAGCAGCACCGAGGTCTCGTCCACCAACCAGGTGGAGGTGCCCGACACCACCCAGAGCTCCCCCGTGTCCATCAGCAGCGGCCTCAACAGCGACCCCGACATGGCGGACAGCCCCGTGGTCACCGGCGTGTCCAGCATGGCGGTGGCCTCCGTGATGGGGAGCCTGTCCCAGAGCGCCACGGTCTTCATGTCCGAGGTCACCAACGAGGCCGTGTACACCATGTCCCCCACCGCCGGCCCCAACCACCACCTCCTCTCGCCCGACGCCTCGCAGGGCCTGGTCCTGGCCATGAGCTCCGACGGCCACAAGTTCGCCTTCCCCACCCCGGGCGGCTCGGACAGCCTGTCCATGCTGCCCTCCAACGTCTCCGAAGAGCTGGTCCTCTCCACCACCCTGGACAGCGGCCGGAAGATTCCAGAAACCACCATGAACTTTGACCCCGACTGTTTCCTCAACAACCCAAAGCAGGGCCAGACGTACGGGGGCGGGGGCCTGAAGGCCGAGATGGTCAGCGCCGGCGTCCGGCACTCGCCTCCCGTGGAGAGGGCCTTCAGCTTCACCACCGTCCTCGCCAAGGAGATCAAGACGGAGGACACCTCCTTCGAGCAGCAAATGGCCAAAGAAGCGTACTCCTCGTCGGCCGCGGCGGCTGGTTCCCTCAGCCTGAGCGCGGGCCCCAGCCTGCTGCCGTCGGGCGGCGGCCTGAGCCCCAGCACCACCCTGGAGCAGATGGACTTCAGCGCCATCGACTCCAACAAGGACTACGCGTCCAGCTTCAGCCAGACGGGCCACAGCCCCCACATCCACCAGACCCCCTCCCCCAGCTTCTTCCTGCAGGACGCCAGCAAGCCCCTCCCCCTTGAGCAGAGCGCCCACAGCAGCCTGAGCGACTCCGGGGGCACCTTCGTGATGCCCACGGTGAAAACGGAGGCCTCCTCGCAGACCAGCTCCTGCAGCGGCCACGTGGAGACACGGATAGAGTCCACCTCCTCCCTCCACCTCATGCAGTTTCAGGCCAACTTCCAGGCCATGGGTGCGGAAGGGGAGGTCACCATGGAGACCTCGCAGGTGGCCGAAGGGGGCGAGGGCCTGATCAAGTCCGGGGAGCTGCAGGCCTGCGGCTCCGAGCACTACCTGCAGCCCGAGACCCCCGGGGTGATCCGCAGCACGGGCGGCGTCCCCCTCCTCCCGGGGAACGTGGTGCAGGGACTGTACCCCGTGGCCCAGCCCGGCCTCGGCAACGCCTCCAACATGGAGCTCAGCCTGGACCACTTTGACATCTCCTTCAGCAACCAGTTCTCCGACCTGATCAACGACTTCATCTCCGTGGAGGGGGGCAGCGGCACCATCTACGGGCACCAGCTGGTGTCAGGGGACGGCGCGGCGCTCTCGCAGTCGGAGGACGGGGCCCGCGCCCCCTTCGCCCAGGCCGAGATGTGCATCCCCTGCTGCAGCCCCCAGCAGGGGAGCCTGCAGCTCAGCGGCGCCGAGGGCGGGGCCGGCACCATGGCCTACATGCACGTCGCCGAGGTGGTCTCGGCCGCCTCGGCCCGGGGCATCTGGGGATGCTGCAGCAGAGCGGACGCGTGTTCCATGGGGACCGACTATTCCCCGGAGTGGTCCTACTCGGAGGTAGCGGCAACTGCCATCTTCCTCCCTGTTAAGGATTATCTCCGCTGGTGACCCCCACCTGAGGAAGCCCCTTTGCCTGTGGATTTC